AGACCAAAGTTGAATGGAAATTAAAAAGCCAGAAGAGAATTCTCTAAGTGAGAAGTACAAGAAAAGAAACTTAGCATAAAAATTATGAGTACATCTCACAATTTCAATTATAAAATGATGAAACTTAGCTGCCAATCTAGTACTGAACTTAAATTTATAAACTCAAGTTATCAAAGCAAAAAGCTCATAAAAATATTTATAGAAAACACATAGAAAAGCTACATTATATTATTCAAGTTTGGATATGGATTGATCTGCATAAGATTGAAATAAAAAGGTTTGATATTTATCAACAACAATTTGCTAAGGCAAATAGCCTATGAAAGTAGATATATACAGTCGTGTAATATAATAGAGAAAATTTCAGGGAATATGGAAGTCTCTAAACCCATAAGCTAGGAATTTTTACCTTAAATGATTTGATATGTAAAATGTTTGAAAATATTCAAGACAATGAAGACAAATTTTAATGAAAAATTGGATGTAAAAAAATGGGATTGAAAATACATCATTTTAACAATTTTAATCTTTTACAGATCAGAATTTCAAGATTGGGTTACAGATTGCAAATTGAGTGACATTTGAAAACCCAGCCGTACTAAATATATATATATTTATTCGTGTGTGTGTGTATGATAAAATATAGTTTTAAGATAAGCTATATTTATTAGTAACAGTGTTCAATGTCAGGGAAAGGGTGTGTATAAATGTATTAGTTGACATTTGAGGTCAACATCGAGTGGTGACAATCTGTTTAATGCTTCAATGCTATCTTCAGACCATATGTGTTGGGTGGTAGCTCAACTTATATATATGCTCATTTATATTGGCTGTTCAATGGGGCATTATGGGTAGCAAGCTCAGATATTTCTGGTTTATTGACTATATATATATATATATATATATATAAAATATCGAGCACTGTTTTATTGACACCAGCACGTTATATGCTATTTATATACATATGTATAGAAAGACAAACATTTATGAAAAATTGTATATGAAAAATAAGATAAAAAATAACATTTTTTTAATTTTAATCGATTACAGATAGTAAATTAGGTGACATTTGAAAACCCAGCTGTACTAAATTTTGAATTTCTTCTTATAAGTCACCTGAAATAGCTTGGTTTATTTTTAAAGTAACCTTGAAAAGTTCTGAATAAAGAATGAATGTGAATAATTTGACCATAGTTGGGATCATCAAGTCAATACAAATGATCCATTCCTTACTTGCATATTATGTACTTTGCCAGATTGTAAAATTCATGCTTTGTCGGCAAAAGAAACAGTCTAATATGCAACTTACAAATTGGAGATTCTAAAATGAAGCAAGTCCATAAATTAATTATATGGGAAGTGTTTTAACAGAGGATGTTAAGTGCAACACCAAAATCCAGAGGCATATTGGGATAGCAAAAATGCCTTCCAAAAGCTATTATATGTATTAAGAAACAGGAAAGTTTTATTAGAAACAAAGAAAAGAGTACTGAACTAATATATAATATGAATCTTTCTATATGGCAGTGAATGCTTGACATTCTCCTCACAGATGTAGAAGAGAATTGAAGTAACAGAAATGTGGTTCTACAGAAGGATGCTGAGAATACCATGGACTGAACATATGAGTGACAAAGTTTTAGAGAAAATGGAAACAAAACGACATATATTTAATACAAGAAAGAGATAGTTAAACTTTCTAGGGCATATAGTGATGAAAAAGGCTTGGAGAATTTGATACTCACAGGACATTGAAGGCAAGAGGAAAACAGCGTATAACCTACCTAACAAGCTTGTGTGAAAAGATGGCAGAACAGAGTTTAGAAGTGATAGCAAAAGCACAAAATTTACTAAGAGTGACAAATGACAGGAAATTGTGGAGATCCATGATCTCCAACATCCTGAAGGGATATAGCATATAAAAAAAGAAAAGCTTTTAAAGTTAACCCAATCTGGCAACTGTTTTACACATGGAAGAATGTCATTTAACAAACACTAGCCAAAATAGCAGCAGAATGTTTTGTCTGACTCTTTTTACTTTTTTATTATATACTAATGTTTATCCAATACAAGACCCAAGAGCCACTCAAGATAGAGTGTTACTGTGTGTTGTTACAGGAGCAGTCATCATATATCTACAACCATTTTTCAATGATAATATAATTAATACATACTTTTGAATTTTAATCGAGTTCACATAAATTTGTTCCAAGGACTATATGGATGTAATTTTATAGAGAAGTATCACAATATTCAGGCCAGTAGACAAAAATAAATATACTGTTTAAAAGAATAAATGGTGCATCTACTCATATATGGCTATCCACTGAAAATAATGTTTAAAGCAATAAAATCTGTTGGATTAAGAAATTAAAAATCCATTACTTCTTTAAAAAATTATTATTATATATTATTAATATTTGTCATTTTTTGGTCTTCATAACTCAGGAGAAAGTGTATAAAAGATTTTAAAATCACTGAACTGTCTAAATATAAAAACCCTTCCAAGTTTCACTTTTTGGTCAGAAAACAATTTTCCTTGAATAAATATTAAGGCAATTTCTTCATACATGAAAGAAATATTCTACTAAAAAAATATTAAAGTTCTTTCCTTTGATAACACTCACATATTAATTAGAGAACTGAATCATTTATAATTCAAGGCTTGGTTAGCAGAGTATGATGACATAAGTTCTCCAGGGGTATTAGCCTAAAATGGGGCATTTGAAATCTCACATATTTAAAAATGCTGAAAACTACAACAAATGGAAGTTTTCTTTCACTCAGTCAATTTGGAAATATGATCATGTTTATAGAAAGACTGAAGATACAAGCTTCTTTAAGTTAGTTCTCTGTGTAATTTAATGTTTCAAACTTTGATTAGATACTAAGACTATCAAATATAACACATTAGACTTAAGTATTTATTTTGCATTAAAAGTATATGTTGAAAAATGTCCAAGTAATCTTATTTTAAATTAAATCATTAATAAATCTCTGGGTAGCAACTAGTTGCATTAAAGACTATGTATATTTAGATATCTTTACATACTTAAAAATTTAGCAAATTTGGTAGAGAGGTAGTAATTCCTTGTGATTCAAGGTTTCCTACTTGAAGACTATTTTTTTAGTAGTAGAAAGTTTATGTGCTTGGATGTAAATTAAGGAAGACTTATTTCAATATCACAACACCAGAGATGAGAAAAACATACCAAGTCTTTGGGTACAGAATCAAAATAATCTATTGAGTACATTTTCTAGGAACAAAGTTTAAGAGAAACAATCAGGTTGTATTTTCTGAAGAAGGATTTAAGGCTAAATAATAAAGGATGACCTTGGAATTTTCTCTACCAATCAGAATAATGTATATCTTTGTGTATAATAGAATACAAGGACTATCTTTCTATATATAAGACAGAGAGTCAAAATTTAAGCTCTACTTCTGTATGGAGCACTGTTTTTTAAAAATAAAAACAAAAATACTAAAGAACCCTGGATAATTTACCTAACTTGTTCTTTCCAATTTTTCTACATATTTGCACACACACACACACACACACATATAATATTATTTTATTTAAGATATTAGAACAAAAACACATCAAAATTGCAACACAATAGCTTTTGTGTTACAATCAGCAGTAACTTACTATTCACCTGAAGAGGCACAATGTAGTGCTGAAACACAAAAGCTATTGAATAATGATTTCAACATGATTTGTTCTAATATTTAAAATAAAATAATAATATACTGCTCTACTTTGTACTGAGCACTTTTTAAAAAAAAGAAAATGCTACAAACAGCGGAATTTTATTTTAGCTGTTTGTTTCTCTCATTTGTATATATATATATATATATATATATATATATATGTGTATGATAAAATGTAGTTTTAAGATATGCTATATTTATTAGTAACAGTGTTCAATATTAAGGATAAAGTGTGTGTAAATATATTAGTTTAGAGTGAGGTCAATATTGAATGATGACAGTCCGTTCAGTGCTATTTCCAGACATTATGTGTTCGGTGGTGGCTCAACTCATATATATACTCATTTATATTAGTTGGTCAATGGGGCATTATGGATAGCAAGCTCAGATATTTCTGGTTTATTGAATAATATATATATATATATATATATATATATATATATATATATCTATATCACATCAAGCACTGTTTTATTGACACCAGGACTATAAGTGCAATTTATATATATATATATATATATATATATATATATATATATATATATATATGTATGTATTTGTGTGTATATGCATTTATTGTAACCTAGAAAGGCTTACTGAATGAGATATAACCAAAACGGTGATGGGAAATGAAATGGTAATCTTTATAACATCAGCAAAATGCAATACTCATCAACGGTGTGAAATAGGTAAACCACTGCTAGTGGTGGACTGCTTAGACAGCATATTACCCCCACTTACAATGGTGTCCAATGTATTCATGAGGATTGGGACATATCGAATAGTGTTCATAGGTATGGTATATAACAGTATGTATGCATGTATGTATATATAATTGTGTATTTGAACAGCAATCCCTCTTTGACACAAGTTTTACTGCACTTACGTTTTTTTAATTTAATTTTTCTTGTGTTATTATAAATTTTTTCTTTTTATTTCATTATGACCATATATATATATATATATATATATTTAGTCCATTTGTGAAAGAAATGAACCATTTAGGTAAAAAAAAAATCAGTTTGCATAATTTTACTAAGAAGCTATAAATATTTGATAATGTACTTGAAAGGAATAAGATCTGTGGTCAATCAGGACTGTAATGCACATAGTCATATTGACGTGAACACAGTATGAGGCAAGGTACAGACTTGAATGTATTGTAACCTGCTTAATAATGATTTAGGAGTTGCAATAAAGAGCAACTGAAATTAAGGTGTAGAAAATATGCATTAAAAATTAATGGTGATTATTAAGCTTGGTTTAACAACTGAATTTTTTGACTTACCTACAGCACATGACGCACAAGATCAAAATGACAATATTAGCAGCCAGGGCACCGGAAAGAATATAAAACATATCCAATTGGGACTGCTTGCCACTCTGAACAACTGAAACAATGAAAGAAATGAAAATAAAATAAAAAATTAGAAAACAATTTTCAAAATGATTAAAAATCAATGAAAGTTATTTTGATAAAGCTTGAAGAACTGAAATTTTTAAATTGTCTTTATCTCCACCAGGGATAAGCAAAGCATTTTAGAAATGGACTGCATCAGCAACCTTTATCCAGGCAAACTCAAAATAAAACTCTTTCTCATATATATATATATATATATATATATATATGTGTGTGTTTATATATATGTTTCATTAAAGACAACAGACAAGGTACAGCAATTAGGCTTCATATTTAATTTTTCTTGTGTTTGAACAAGTGTTTTCTTTTCCGGTCACAGAGTGTGTAGAAACTATCGAACTGTTCTGTAATTCCAAGCACTTTTGGCTATATTTTTAGTCATTATCAAGGATGATTTTATTTTTTACTGTTTAACTGAATATATGGGTTGTGTGTACTTATCTAGAATTATAGGGATACTTTATTTTCCAAACACAGTCAGCACATTGTGCCCATGTTCATAGTTAACATTACTGAGTGTTGGCCCTTTCTATTTTATTATTAATGTCTCCATTATTTTTAATCATTTTTTACATGTGGATAAGGTTATTATGCTTGTATTTTCTACTAGTATCTTTCAGGTGGAGTCTAGTAAGTTTGCGTGTGTGTGTTTAAATGGGTTCTGATGGAGCTGTGGTCAGACAGGTGTAATGTAAGCCATCTGGATAGGCATGTAGTAGTGTGATCAATGTACTTATTTATGAGTTTGGTTTGATTAGGAACACATTTTCTTAAGGGGCATTTGAACTCATAAATAATATTCTTTGTAGTTCTGATTTTGTAGATGTGTTGTTATTTTTGAGGATAAGGGTAGATGTTTTAAATTTTTTGTAACAGATAATTTAATTTATGATGAAAGCAAAAAAAGAGCCATATTCTTTCAAATCTAGAAGATTGGTTATAAAATGGTAATTTTTCTTTTATTTATATATATATATATATATATATATATATATATATATATACTTAGCAAGATTAAATTTTAATTTTTTGTAAGACAGTCAATATATTACATGTAAAAAATTTCCAGAATGTTATTTTTGAGACATTCTAATTTAATCATTTGATGAGAAGAGTTTGTCTGCCTTGACATTTACTAAGTTTACTTTAGTACAAAAGAACATCAGTATGGGGAGAGCCTACCTTACCTTACTAAATCAAGTACAACCCAAGGCCAGATAAAGAAAATTGAGGCTAGGTAGACAGTGATAGGCTAATTTTGCATGTGATAAGGGCCAGCCATCCTTGTTATTTAGTAAGCTTAGTTCAGTACATCAGAAGGCCAAATTTAGTTGAATTGAGGCTAAAAAAGAATTTTGTGGGGAGGGCTTAACTACTTTGATATTTAGTAGGCTTTGTACAACAGAAGGCCAAATATAGAGAATTTAGGCCAGGAAAACAGTGTTGGGTCAATCTTCTATATATTCCAATCTAGTAGCATGATTAAGTTCATGTAGTCAGAGCACCAAGGATAAAGGCTTGTCAGATCATTTGCCATAAAAATATTTGTAGAAAAGACAGAGGGAATCCATGTCATGTTAGTGAAGTTAAGATACCAAGTCAGGATCGATTACATTACAGATCCTTCTCTGGATTTTGTCAAGAATCTTGAGATGAATATCAGGAGCACCAGACCAGATATGACAGCAGTATTCTATGCATGGACAAATGGTAGATTTGTAAATGTGCAAGATGAACTCTGACAAAAAAAATTTGACCAGTCTTAAAAAATGATCATGATTGTACAAAGATGTTCGAATCATATTCATTCATAAAAATATCAAACTATCAATGAAATTGAAAACTATTCATTCATTAAAAGCCAAACAAAAGCAAACACGTTAAAATTTTTCCTTCAACTAAGAGTTGTATCTATAAACACGAAAGGTGTCGAACAATAATGAATGCTTTTATGAATTAAAGCTGTTTCAGGATTATCGCAGAACTAAAAAAGAATTATAGTCATGATAACTGAAACATTAATAACTGCAGATATTAATGAGACAAATTTTATTATATTAACTGGAATAAAATAGTTTGATAATTTCACTTGATTTGAATCAAGCAATCATTATCAGTGAAGGATATTTATATAATTTAGTCTAGTTGATTTACAAGTATTAACTGTTAATCACCTGGAAAGGTGATTGTGTAGCACTTATCTTCTGCTGGATTTAGTTTCTCCTACGTTAAAAGTTTCCATCTAAATACTGGTAAATAATTGAACATAAAAACAAAAATAACACCTTGAATATTACATAATGCCATAGATGCTTTTTTTGAGAGTTGCCATTAGAAGCTGATATATAAGACCATATGCTTTATTTTGGCAAATAAAATTAATTATCACTATTTTCATTATTCAGACTATTGTCCTCATCTTTGTTGCCATATTTATAACAACATTTCGGCCGTTGTACACTCCAGCCTTCTTCATGTGGTTGGAATGTCAAATTGAACCCTTTATTTCGCTTGCTGGGGTAGACTGTTTTAGTTCCATGTGCCATATCTATTAATTGGTCCCTAGGATATTACATAATTCCATTTATATAAGAGAGTGTGCTAGTTAAAATAATATCAAAACAACAAAAAAGATTTAAAAAAAAAATAATATCCAAATTCTCATAGAAAACTGGAAATTGATTTTTATTTATTTATACTATTTACATGTAAACTATTTTCCTTATCTTTGTTGTTGTTATCACAATGTTTCAGCATTCAGGTGTATGTTGATCTAGGTAAGCTACAGGGAATTCAGAACTGATCCCTTTATTTAATCTATTTCTGAAAAGGTTTGCAACCATGCATGCCATCAATATCAAAATCTCAATGTGACAAGGCTATTTATTTAATTTTTTTATATTAAGGTTCAACCTGTACAAGGTCTGTGGGGAGGCACTAGAGGTAGAGGGTTACATTAAGGAGTAGTCTATATGGATAAGAGCGGAAGATAACATTTAACTCCAGACTTGAACAGATTGTAGTAATCAAGGAAACATCCTCTTAGGAGTCTGTTCCATAAGGAAGTGGTTTGCAGGAAGAAGCTGTTTGAGTGGAACTTACTTCTTGCTAATGAAATACAGAGGGAATGAGGGTGGTTTGTTACTATGTAAGTGGCATGGTGGCTCCTTGCCATGAAGATCAGATCTGGTCGAACCAGGAGATGCAGTTCATCCAAGCACTTTTCTTGGAAGTAGTGTTAGAACAGTGAAAGGCTTACCACATCCTGCCTGTGAGAAAGAGGTTGGAGTGTGGAAAATAATTCTTCTCCAACAAGAACTCTGTGATGCTTTTGAACTCCATGAAGACTGGAAAGTCAGGTGTAGGCTCCTGCCGAAATATGGCAACAGTACTCTATTTTCAGCCTTATCTGTCTTTTATAAGGGTAGAGGATAGCATGAGGAGTCAGGTACTTACTGGATGGGCACACAGAGCCAATTATATTACCTGCATTTTTAATTAGTTTTCAGGTTGATGTTTCGACTTTGCAGTAATTTGCAGTATTAAACAAAACTACCTCTTACTGAAGTAGTGGGGAATGTCAATAAGCATATTAAAAGGATTCAGATATAAATAAATTTAGAAGTTTAGTCTGACAAAAGGCCACAATGTAAAGCATTATTGAATATCAAACTCAAAAGTTAGTCTTAGATTAGTTTTCTAATTACGATTATAAATGTCATATTAGCCACTTCCTTATAAAGAAACATTTGGTATTCATTGACTGAATAGCCAGTTCTAATTTTGTTGAAATTTATAAAATCTTTTTTTTTCTTTCAGTAAAATGGATTTCTCAAGTTTCACACTTTCCAGTACTGTTGGGGGTTTCCTTATTAACCTTTTGTTTAAAGTAGTGCGGAATGTCAAAATCTTGGTTATGTTATGATTTTCCTTTTGAGTTACATATGCTATCCTTTTTAGTTGTTGCTATTGTTGACAGTCCTCAAGTGATAGGGTTTCTTTTATTTGCAATTCTGTAGTGCCAGTTCATACTGTTCGAAAAAGGATTTTTTTTTGTCAAGATCAACAGGCCTCACTCAAAGACATTTTTAACCATTGATCTTAAAAAACAGTTGTATAATAACTGACAGTTTAGATATGACTGAAAGAGTTTGGCACCTTGCATGAAATCTATATGAAAGCCTTGATTTGACAAGGTTATTTAGGAACATGACTTGAATTTTCAGGTTGATGTTTTGGTTTTGTAGCAATTTGCAGTGACTAAACCCAATTTCTTACTTTCTTAGACAACACTTTAGTGAAAATGAACATATTTGATGACATCTAAAGACTCCACAAGCACTATTTACATTTTATATTACAGAATAAAGTGATGCTGAAAAGTCTGACTTGACAAAATCTGAGCATAATTCTAGTACTGTAGCTGTAAAGGGTATTCTTTATTGTCATAGGATATCAATATACAGGATTCTTGTGTTATTTTTTTCTTTTTTCAAGCATTTAACCCCAAGCAAGGTGAGAATGCCACAAGAAAATAGGGGGGGGTACAGTGGGTGAAAGAGAAAGAGAATGAGGAAACTGCTAATGTGGGTGAAGAAAGGATGAAAAAATTAACAGTGTTCAAGAAGACAAAAGATAGTAATTGATGTTGTGCTTAAACTTTTGAAGATTGTAGTTATCAGGGAACCAAGAAAACAGAAGGGAGTTCTACAGGTGGGAAGTGTGAGAAAAGAAACTGTTAGAGTAGAGCTGCATTTAACTATTTCAACAGTAAAATAATGGGAACTAAATGCCAATCCAGTAGCACATTTAAATTCATGTAGTCGAGACACCAAGGTAAAAAGCTTGTTAGAGTAGTTGCCATGAAAATATTTGTAGAAAAAACAAAAAGGAATCCACATCATGTTAGTAAGAAAGTGACTGAAGTTGAGATGCCTGGTCAGGGTTGATGACATTGCAGATCCTTCTTTG